ATGTTTAGTGTAGTCGGTAGGGACCGTTTAAGTGCATGCCTCTCCAACCGCTTCTGTATAGGCGCTAGGGTTATGGATCGGACTTATAAGTGCATGCCTCTCCAACCGCTTAAGTGTCGTCACGTGCGGCAAATGGTGATGTGCTTGCCGTCCAACCGGCCTCGCGGCCAGCGCGGCAGCGCGGCTCGGAGGCGCTTGTACGCGGGCCCGGACGTGCGTAGGTCGGCGACGTAAAGCGATCCGGTCTCGAGGCCGGCCGGGATGGCCTCGACCAGCGCCAGGGCGCCCTTTGCGCCGACCCCGCACCCGCCGATTGGATTGCCATTCCCATTGAAGCAGAGGTCCAGCTTCCGCAGGCCGCTCGGCAGGTGCTTCGCCAAGACGCCCGCGCCCCGATCTCCGAGTCCCTTTGCGTGCGTCTCGATCTTGAGCGTCTCGAGGGTCGAGGGCAGATTCTCAAACAGGAGCTCCCAGTCGCCCTTGCTGCCCATGAAGCACTCGAAGCCTTCCACCAACTCGAGCCGCTTCAGGGGCCGCGCGCGGAGCGCCTCGAAAAACCGCCGCATGGCCGCCGTCCGGGTCGCCTGGTAGTCGGGCCCCGGACCCTCGTAGTCGATCTCGAAAGAGGCCTTGTAGTCGAAGGAGATGGAGAGCGCCGCAAGAGTCGGCGGCAGCTGCGACGCCAGCTGGGAGAGGGCGGCGACGGAGAGGCCGCAGCGGTAGAAACCCATGACCACCGACAGCTCCGCTGGAGGGAGGCGGCTCGTCAGGAGCTTGGTGCAGAAGCCGTCGTCACTCCGATCGACGTAGTACGCCGCAAGCTCGATCTTGGGCACCGTGAGCGCGCGCAGCGCCGTGGCCACCACGCTCCAGCACGGCGCAAGATCCTATGTTGCCGACGACACTGTCATGGCATGGCATTGCAAGCTGAGATGCTAAAGGGTGTGCAGTAAGTCCACCTTGTGTAGGTTTTTACCCTCCTCGTCGTTGAAAGCGAGCTTGAGGGAGTCCAGCCGCCGTGGCAGCGTCGAGAGGGTCGAGTAGGCTGCCGGGTCCCGCATGCAGCAGGCCAGGCGGAGGTCTCTGAGCTGTGGCGCGCAGGGCAGCCGCAGCGCCGGCGTCCAGCACGCCATGAAGTCGAGCGAGCGCAGCTCGCGGCAGCGCTGGAGGAGGGTCTCCGTCGAGGCGTCCCCCATTCGACCTCCCCGCGGGGAGGTAAGGCACAAGCTCCGCAGCCCCGCCGGAAGCCCCGCGGCCAAGACCTCCGCATCAGGGTCCTCGAGGATAACGTAAACGGTCTCCAGAGTCAACGTCTGGAGACCGGGCGGCAGCAAGGCCAGGAGCTGCCCGAGCCTCCGACGATCGTCTCCTGGCAAACTCTCCACCGAGCTGAGGGTGAGGTGCAGCTCGGTCAGGTAGCTCGGAATGCGCCACTGCAAGCCCTGCACCGTCGCACTGCTGAGCTGGACGCTGAGGCCCGTGCGGAAGATGGCGCCCCAAATCTCGCCCAAGGCATCGCGCCAGGCGCGGCTCACGCACAGCCAGTCCACAACAGGGTGCGATAAGCCGATGCAGTAGCTGTCCTGGATGAGGAACGCCTGGATCGTGTCTAGCTCCAAGACCCGGGCGAGCAAGTCGGAAGCAGCTCTTAAGGTGTGGCTCCGCAACACGGCTGGCATTTTGTGGTACAGAGGCTAGAGCGAATGTATCATGGGTTGTTGTTGTCGTGCATTTGGACCGTGCGTCCCCTGCTCGCGCTGCGCATGTGTGGATCATGATATGCCTCTCTTTTTGGTAAGCCATTGTGCGCCTAAACTTTCGCACGTGCAGCACCGAAGCCGCAGCAGCCTTTGAAAGCCGCAACAATTCCTCTGCGAGCTGTAGCTCCTCTTCATCGTATTCATAGCCCGCATCGCCATCTCCATCCTCGCCGCCGCCGTCGCCGCCGCCGTCGTCGCCGCCGCCGCCGCTGTCGCCGCCGCTGTCGCCGCCGCTGTCGCCGCTGTCGCCGCCGCTGTCGCCGCCGCCGTCGTCACCGGCCGCTGTGCTACGCGTCGCCTCGGCGAAGCCGCCGCCGATGTCGCCGCCGCCGCTCTCCTCGACGCCGTCGCCTGCCCCGCCGTAGCCCGCCTCACCGCTGTTGCCAGCCTCGCCGCCGCCAGCCTCACCACCGCCTTTCTCGCCGCCGCCCACCTCGCCGCCGTCGACCTCCTCGTCGCCCGTCGCCTCCGCTCCACTGTCGAGCACTGCCTGCACCTCTCCGCCTGCCTCACCGCCAGACAAGATTGCGGAGCCGGCCGCGTCGCCCGCCGCTTCCGTCGCCTCGGGCGAGAGCCCCGCAGCGGTCGCATCGAGCGCCGCCTGCGCCGCCGAGCCCGCTACCGCCCCAGCAGCAGCCGCGGTAAACTGAATGCGCTCGGCCTCCTCGCCGCCGTAGAGCACGACCGCGGCACCGCCGCCCAGCAGCACCAGAGCCATCTCCTCGGCGCCGCCCTCGGCGCCGCCACCTGCGCCCTCGCCGCCGCCCTCGTCGCCGCCCGCCTCGCCGCCGCCCCACACCCGCTGGTCCGAGTCGGACGTGACCGCCGAACCATACACGCCCGCGTAGTACACGCCCTTCTTGCGCGCGAAGGTCAACTCAAGCTCGTCCAGAGCCTGCGGCGCGAGGTACTGTATGGCCTCCCCCGCCTCGCCGCCATACAACGGCCGGGCAACGCCGCCGCCCAGCATCAGTCGCCGGCGCCCGGGGGCGCCATCCGGGAAGCGCATCAGGGCCGGCCGAGGTTCCACCGTCGGCTCGGCGATGGGCATCGAAGTTACCTCCCGCTCCTCGTCCGACCACTCGGAGGTCGACACGGACCACCAGTTCACAGACTCGTTAGCGCCGCTGTTGCCGTCGCCGACACCCTCGCCGCCCTGCATCGAGTCGTCCTCCGAGACCTCGACCACCTCGCCTCCTGGCATAGAGACGTCCTCCGAGCCCTCGACCACCTCGCTGCCCTGCATCGAGTCGTCCTCCGAGTCGGTGACCACCTCGACCCAGACCTCACGAGGATCGTCGCCGCAGCCGTCCTCGGCGCCGACCCCTTCGTCGCCCTCGCCGCCGCCGCCGCTGCCGCCCCCTCCGTCGCCGTCGTCGCCGCCCTCCGCCACGCTCTCGTCGCTTGCCCCGCCGTCGCCTGCCTCGGCCGCATCGCCCGCCGCTGTCTCCGCCGCCTCGGGCGAGAGTCCCGTTGCGGTCGCACCGAGCGCCGCCTGCGTCGCCGAGGACGCTACCGCCCCAGCAGCAGCCGCCGTAAACTGGATGCGCTCGGCCTCCTCGCCGCCGTAGAGCACGCACGCAACGCCGCCGCCCAGCAGAGCCAGAGCCATCTCCTCCCCGCCACCGCCGCCGCCGCCGTTGTTTTCGATGTCGCCTTTGATGCTGTGGATGTGGTGTTTACGCCCTCGATGTCTGATGTTTCGCCGTCTGGATTGCAGTTGATTGATGTTGTGACTGAATTGCGTCGGCTTTAGGCTCCAAGTA